TAACCATGGTTCACTAGGAACCATGGTAAGGTCTAGCTAACCATCCATGGTCTAGAGGCTTGGAGAGCAAGCTACTCACTTAGCTTGCTTGGTAAGCAAGCTAAGGAGAAGCTTGTGCTTCAAGCTTCTAAGCTTGAGTGTGAACAAGCAATGTGAACACAAATCAAGGTGGGCGGCTCATGGACTTTATTTTACTCCAACCGGTTTTGAAAAAATGTTGATTTGGTTTAGTTAGGTTCATCCAATGTGAATGAAACCTAGCTAAATCAAATCTATGAAAAATTAGGAGTAAAATGAGTCTAATATGTAAAATTTTTCCTAGGCCCATCTCTATGTCCAATTGCTAGTAACACTCTCTAGCTTGCTAGTGACACTCTCTAGCTTGCTAATGCCACTCCCAATCCTACTACTAGAAAACTAAGAAAAGAGTGTATTTCTAGATTAGGTTAAATGGAGTCAAAGTGTCCAAGTAACCTACCCTAGAAACAATATACAATAGCTAATAAAAGGAAATAAAGTGCCTCACAAATACAAAGGCAAAAATACACCTATACAAGTATCTACTATATACAAGGTACAAGAAATCAAACTATACAATGTATGTACAATAGAGACTATGAGACTAAAAAGAGGAATCATACTCAATACTCATATTGAGCATAGGTCTAAGAAGCACCTCCTCTCTAGAAGCCTCCTCTAGCCTCCTAACCATGGACCTAGTTAAAGGCCCAATGGTCTTCAAGTGTGAGCCTCCTTGGATCAACCTTCACCCTTCTTGGTCTTACCTCTTCCAAAAGGATCCTTGGAAATTAGATTTTCATCATACCTTCCCCCTTCGAAAGGATTTGTCCTCAAATCCCGTGGTCCTTCCACAAGGATAGCATCACCTACAAAAATAAGAAACAAAGTTTTAGTAATGATATATGCATATAATACATGTGGTAAGTGCACCCTATGAGGAATCCCTTCTACAGTCCTAACAAGCCAGCTAGGTCCAAGAGTGGTGGTGGTTCTCAGAAGAAGCCTTATGATAGACCCCAATCACTATAAGGGAGTCTTGTCACAAGGAAACCTATTGACACAGCTAGGAGTGGGGGTTAGAGTGGAGCTGTTACTCTCAGATGTTACAGATGTGGTGGACCTCACTTTATTCGTGATTGTCCTCATACCGAGAGCAAGTGCTTTAGGTGTGGCCAGATGGGTCACATGTCGACTAGTTGTCCTGTAAGTGTCAGATAGACCAGGAGTGCCCCGAGGGGTGATAGATCTACTATAGCTAGGAGGGTGTTTGCCTGTATGTAATTTGGGGTTGAGATTGCTTGTGTCTGCGCATGCTTCTATTGTTGCGTCTAAGATCTGAGCCCTCCTATAACTACTCTTGCACTCAAAATCTTTTGTGAAAACCTTTTAGCACTCACTCTTTGTGAAAATATTTTCAAGAACCTCTTTGTGAAAACCTTTCTTGATCAAAGATGAGTGATCATTCAAGTGTACGTGGTCAAAATACCCATAGTAGTAAACATAGTCTTAGGGATGAACTTAGAGAACTTAGGGAATACATAAAATAAGGAGGTCCACCAATACATAGCATGCCCTTGGAAGCTAAGGGTTGCCAAAGAAACCTTTTTCTCTTCACTTATTCCATGGCAAGAAAAAAGTTGTTCAACTTTCATTTCCCAATCTAAATATGTTTCAACATTGTCTTTGCCATGAAATGAGGGAAGAGTAATATTGGGTTCCTTATTCAAAGACTCCCTTGGTCTTTGTGTTCTTGGTGGCCTTTGATAGTAATCATCATTGTGATGACTACTATAATGGCTATCACTTGGGGGGTTTTTAGGGTGTTGACTACCCTCACTTTCACTTCTAGGGGTTCTCACCCCATTGCCTCTTTGAGGCCTAGTTGGGGGAATCCTTGGGTTGGATCCCCCAACTCCTCCCCCCATGACTAGTTTTGCTAGCATCTCTTTTTTTTCTTTATTGTTTTTATCATTTTCTCTCTCTTTTCTCTTATATTCATTCTCTCTTTTTTCATTTTATTTTTATGTATTCCCTAAGTTCTCTAAGTTCATCCCTAAGACTATGTTTACTACTATGGGTATTTTGACCACGTACACTTGAATGATCACTCATCTTTGATCAAGAAAGGTTTTCACAAAGAGGTTCTTGAAAATATTTTCACAAAGAGTGAGTGATAAAAGGTTTTCACAAAAGCTTTTGAGTGCAAGAGTAGTGATAGGAGGCCTAAGTGCACAAAGTGAACTATCAAGGGAGGTGGACTACAAAGAGTCTCTTAAAAACCAAGCCTTTTCAAGTAGAAATCACTAAGCCCCTTTTCACTTTTCTCACAAAAACAATTTTAGCACAAGAGTGAGTGTGTGTTCGGACCCTTAGTAGGCAACTTTGGAAGCCTCTAAACGAACATACAACAATCTAAGGAATTATGCTAACAACTAAGAGAATTAAAGGAAAGCAATAAAGCATATACTAGTCGGAAGTCCTAGGGTGGAAGCTTGAAGTGACCTTGGGGGTTTTCAAGACACTTCCACAAGTACTAAACAAAACTACTCCTAAAAAAATAATTAATTTAAGAGGCCAATTTACAACCCAATTGAATGAATAAGGACCTGTCTCATCAATATTCCCCTTGAGTTTAGCCTTTCTAATTGAGCATTTTTAGTTTTTATTTCTTGGCCTCCTTTCTTGCTCTTGGTTTAGGGTTTAGGGTTTAGGGTTCCCTCCCAAAGCTCTTTGGATCTCACGGCCAACTCCTCCAACTCAATCTTCCCCAAAATTGCATGGAAGTGTGGAAGTAGGCTTCACATTGGGAGGAACTAACCAAGTTTTCTCATTGTGAAGGGAACACCAAATTGGAGCTTGATGTTACTTTCCTTTCTTCTCACCAGCTCAAGCTTTTAGATCAACCACTAACACCATAGCTCAGCCAATAAAGGAATGAGAAAGAAAAGAAAAATTGAGAAAGGGAGGAAAGGGTTACAGGTCTCACAAATTTTATGAAGCTAGCTAAAAGTCTAAGATTTATGATCATTTCTCTACAGTTTTTTTTTATTTTAAGCTAATTTACTACATAGGTTTTTGTTTTTTTTGCCCAAAAGAAATTAAATATCTCAAAATTATTTTTATTAAATTTATAAAAACAAAAAATTGTTTTAACTAATATTTTAATTTGTGCAAATGCAGATGTTAAATGTTTATTACATGTAAATAAAATTTACAATATATATATATATATATATATAAATATTATATTTGAATATATAAATTATATTTAAAATTTATATAAATAGATATCTTTAAACATATGAATATGATAAATAATTTATATTATAATATAAAATTTATTTTATTTATTTATAATTTATCTTAAAATATTAAAATTTAATTAATAAATATTATAATAAATTAAAATTAAAATAGATAAAAAAAATTAAAAAAAAAATAAATTTCTTTTATTAAATAAAAACTCTTAAAAATATTCTCACATTAAATAAAAATTTGTATTTAATATATTTATTTGATTATAACAATACTTATTATTCATCTAATCAATTAGAGAAATAATATAAGTTTCATCAGCCTTCCAAACATATAAGTCAAAGTGGATTTCGTTTATAAATCACCAAACCTATTATTTAAGATCAATCAAAACAATAGAATAGACAGCGAGAGTTCAAGTTAGAAGTACATTCAAACACATCGTAAAAATCGTCAAAAATAATTTTCATGTGAACATGTCATGATGTTAATTCAAAATATTATATAATTCAATAAATATTTTGGTTAATAAAAAATTTGACAATATCATTTATGAAATGAAAGATATTTCATGAAGGGAAAGATATAGAGCAATTATAAATGAATTTATTATTATTATTGTATGTCTCATTAATTTAACTTTTATATATCTCTCTCATATTCTTTACTTACATGTGAAAATATGCTTCATCTAATATTGATAAGAGTTGTCTAATACTTATCCATAAAATTAAATGACAAGTAGTAGAAATAATTTTTTTTATATTAAAGATTAGATAATCATAAACAAAAAGTTTTATTACAAATTATAATAATTTAATGTTACATGTTCTAGCAGAACCTTTTTTTTTTTTTTTTTTAACTTTCATTCTAAACTATTGACTTTAAGATAATTAATAAAATGTATTTAATTCTTATAAACGGAGGAAGCACGCAGCTATAATAAAACAACCGATTGGTATACTACCATTTATGTACCCATTGGATTTCGAATATAAGTAAAAAAATAAATAAAATTTCATGTTTATTAGTTTCAAATACAAATAAATTTTTATTAATTCTACTCTATTTAATCTTATCATTTTTAAATTAATGTTTATTTTGATATTGAACTCTATAAAATAAATTATTTTGAAATAAAATTAAATTATATAACTAACTTTCTTAATAGTGAACATTTTTTCTTTTCTGGTTATACTCATTAGTCAGAACCGGGAAAAAGTATCTTAAGAGTGGTTCCTCTTCCTCGTAAATGAAAAAAGTGAGAAAAATTCCATAAAGATAGAAACTTATAGACAATTATGCACTGTAGAGTATAGAAGACTCACTCTACCTTCCATCTTTTACTTTCTTTATTATGTCTTTATCAACAAGCAACTCACAATCACTCTATCGATCAGATCAAAAGCAACAAAAGAAATTTTTATATATATATTTTTTTCACATAATAACCAGATCATAATAAATAAGAATAAAAAGGTAGAACCCTTATTTACTTGGTCATTACTTCCCTGGTTTTTAGCACAAAATCAAAAGAAGAGCTTTATCCAAAGTAACCGTCATGCAATTATTTAGGCATATAATAGAGTTTTCTTTGTTACATAAGCATATAGTAGAATTTAATAATCCAATAGTAAATTGAAAAGAAATATCCAGGAATCCTATCTCAGAGGCAATTCTCCTTGGTGGGGCCACATGGACCATGCTCAAATTTGTCATCATCAACAAAGATAAACACTCAAACCATGTCAAATTTGTTCTTCCAATCCCCAATGAAATTCCCCAAAGCCACCTTCTTTTGATTCAATAAATCAACACCCATCTTTCAAAGTTCCAACTTCTAATAAAAATTCCTCTCCACTGTCACCACACTAATCAGAGTTCCAATCTTGGTTCTTGTGATCACTCACCAATCACCACCCTAATGGATATTGATGAGTGGGAGTTTCTCTCTGATGATGGGTACCTTGATTTCAATGAGGAGGGTGTGGGGAAGCAAAGTCCCCTAGGAAAGGGGAAATTGGACTCAAAGGGTGTGTTTGACATGGAGTACTTTGGCTCATCACCTCCACCAAGGGTGAGAAATCAACTTGTCCCTTTGCCAATTCAATTGGAGCCAAGAATTGGCAAAACCCCAGAAGATGTTTTGGTGAAAGACATGATGATGATCAAGGATATTCCTATTGTTGCCCCATCAGAGAAAACCAAGGAATTTGAGGCAGTGGAAGCTGATAGAGTAAAAGTTTTCTTCAAGATCAAGGAGAGTGAGTTTGTGGACATGAAAATGGATTCCCCCAAGTCAATTAGTAGGGGAATATTGCCTCCAATGGATGCTGGTGGCTTGAAATTTGAGGACAAAGGTGAGGCCATAGAGATCATCACCTCTCCCAGAAGGAAAGTTATTGAGAAGGATTTGATGTGTGACAAAGAAGAGGAATCCACTTGGGAGGAAGAGAACAATAGTGGTTTCAACATATGGAAGTGGAGTTTGACAGGTGTTGGTGCTATTTGCTCTTTTGGTGTTGCTGCTGCTACTATTTGTGTTCTTTTCTTTGGAAGCCAGCAAAGGAACAAACTAAAGCAGGATCAGAAGATTAGGTTCCAGATCTATACCGATGACAAGGTCAGTTAATCTCACCTAATCTCTCAGTTCTATTATTGGGTTTGTTGCCTATAAAACTCTGAAAATAATAAAATTTTATGAATGATTTAGCATAGGGTTGTCTTATTTGTTTAAGAAATGTTATAGAAATAGTAAGTTTTAAATTTCTGTCACAATTTGATCATGATCCAGTGGGAAATTGTGGATAAATGAGTCTGATGCAGTCACAATTGTAGTTGAATTATGGTTATAACCCAAAAAAATTGTAAATAAATGTGTTTGATACCGCCATAATTGTAATCATATTGAGGTGACAAAGATTTCAAAAACCTTGATGTTGTAGTCACATGCTAATTAGTGAAATCTTGGAGAATGAAAAGTCTGTTTATTTTGTGTTGTGGCTAAGGGTGGAATGCTGAGAAGTTCACTTGATTTGGTCCAATTTTTTTTTTTTTTAATGTGTTGTTGTTAGATGTTGAACTAGTTCTTGATTGTGATTTCAGAGGATTAAGCAAGTGGTGCAGCATGCGACCAAATTAAATGATGCAATTTCTGCAGCAAGAGGTGTTCCTATGAGCAGAGCTCACATAACCGTTGGTGGTTACTATGATGGTCTTTGAAGCATTGATTAGGTGCATTTGTCAAACAATTGAAGTCTAGAATGGATCAACTGCAGTGCCATGAGATCTATTAATCTGGCCATATCCTATATTGATGTGAATAACATGATGTCAGATGTTTCCTTATTGCAGATGTTTGTTCTGTATATTTTCTGTAGTCTAGTAAATTAAGTCACAGATTAGCGGCACTTTTATTGTTATTATTATTATTATTATTATTTGATATTTGATTATTAATACTTTGGAATTTATGTATGAAGATGTTAGCTTTGGATTTAGGTAATTGCGGTCTTTAAATTTGAAAAGGTAGATGATTCACCAAATACAAATATAGTCCAAGGAATAATAAGATTGAATGTGTCATCTGACAACAATTACTGAAAGAATTTTAAGGATTCAAAGCGTGTAACTTTGAACTATTGAAGTACATGTCCCTATGAAGAATCACTACCCTTTTTGACAGATTTGATTATTCCCTGCATGACAGTCGGTGGATTTCAACATTGTTATTTTTGGTCGCAAAAAGTTAATCTTGTGGTAGTATTGTGACTGTTTCGAGTTTGAAAAGTTTTTGTACACAGTAAAAATCCAACATAGAATTATCTATAAAATAGATTGTCTTTAGAGAAGATAAAGTATCAAACTATTATGTTAACAAATTGAATTAAACAGTTATAGATATAGAATTTTTTTTCTAAATAATATGAAGTCACTGTCTAAGAAAGAAAGTCAGTCAAACTGAGATCATGTCTAAAATTATCTAGGTCTTAAATTAGGCTCATGGGTATTTTTTAAAAAAATAAAAGGTATCTCTTTTTAGAAATTAAGGAACTAATCTTTAAAGTACTAAATTTTATTTAAGGAATTAACATCATTTAATAAAGGTTAACTCTTCATTATATATTTAAGAAACAAAATTATTTATTAACCATATCATATTTTGTGGGTAAATAGACTCGTGTATGAGATTGAATCCGATAGAATGTATAGATTTTTATTTCAATCTTTTAAGCTTATAAGTTGTAAAATTATTTAATAAAATTTATATTTAAATAATTATAACATTTTAATATATAAAATAATTAATGTGTTTGATATTTTTTAGTATTGTTGGTAGGAAATTAATATTAATGGTAATCTTGATATCGAGTTTGATTTCAATGGGTTAAAATAAGTGCTATAGATGTAATGACTAAAGTTGTGGGTATTTCTAAGACTAATCAAAGGTGAGTCATAGGTCTTCTTGCTTTAGTCACAATGTGTCTGCATCTTTTCCAAATGAAAACAATAGATAGCCAAGTTTTATTCAAAGAACAGCATCATATGGTCTTCCTCTAGATTTGTGCCTTTCTTGGGATGGTATCACAAACTATTGAAAATTCAAAGAGTGTACTTATTCTGAATTTTTTACGTAAATAATATTTTTTTAAATTTTTTTATCAAAATAATACCTGTACAACTTTATTTACACAACTAGAACCGTTTACTGTTCACACTCAGAATTCGGTTCCCCGGGAACCGAATTCTGAGCTTCAAAATTTTTTTTTCCCTTTTTTTGTGCTCAGAATTCGGTTCTCGGGGAACCGAATTCTGAGCACAAAAAAAGGGAAAAAAAATTTTGAAGCTCAGAATTCGGTTCCCGGGGAACCGAATTCTGAGCACAAAAAAAGGGAAAAAAAATTTTGAAGCTCAGAATTCGGTTCCCGGGGAACCGAATTCTGAGCACAAAAAAAGGGAAAAAAAATTTTGAAGCTCAGAATTCGGTTCCCGGGGAACCGAATTCTGAGCACAAAAAAAGGGAAAAAAAATTTTGAAGCTCAGAATTCGGTTCCCGGGGAACCGAATTCTGAGCACAAAAAAAGGGAAAAAAAATTTTGAAGCTCAGAATTCGGTTCCCCGGGAACCGAATTCTGAGCACAAAAAAAAGAAAAATTTTTTTTGAAGCTTAGAATTCAGTTCTCGGGGAACCGAATTGTGAGTGTGAACAGTAAATGGTTCTAGTTGTGTAAATAAAGTTGCACAGGTGTTATTTTAGTAAATTTTTTTTAAAAAAATATTATTTACGTTAAAAATTCTACTTATTCTAGCCCAATGTTTATGACCACAAGAGCCCAAATTATTGATTGGGTTTGATTAGGATAAATTTGGATATTACCAATTCTTCATAATTAAATGCATTAACAAGCTTGTTATTGTTAATATTGTAGAATAATTAAGGATTTTATTTAAGCCATTAATGTTTATAAATTAGGTCATTTATATGAAATTTTAAGTTCTAATCTTTGTTCCCCCATTGTAGTTGTACTAAGGACTTTTTTCCTTCAACATTTGTTAGAAAAGAATTTTCCATTCAGTAAGTACCATATTATTCACAATTTATATAACTTCAACATGATCTACGGGTGAGCATTGGTTCGGTTTTATAACCTGAGAAACTAAATTAATTTCTTTTTTTTATTATTATTCTTGAGAGCTGTTATTCTGCTTGCTTAATGAATAATTTATATATTTGTAACATTTTTTTTTATCACAAATTAATGCATTTTTAATGACAAGTATATGTACTTTTTTTTTATATATATATTTTATGAAAAAGTTTTTCATAAAAAACTTATGTATGTCCCTAACTCTGTATCTGAACTAAATCAATAATCTAAGAACCAAGCCAAGTCAATCAATTTTGATTGCATATTGGATTTTTTTTTCAGTAAAACAACCAATAATGTAAGCAACCAAACCAATCTTCTTATGTTATTGATTTTTCTAATGACAAGTATATGTATTTTCCTATATTTTATGAAATAAGATTTTCATTAAAAATAATTATTATGCCCTAACCCAATAACTTGAACTAAGTCAATAATAATCTAACAAATAAAACCAGATCAATCTAGTTTGATTGATTAGGATTCTATTTTTCACTGAATCAAGCAATTGTATCCGTTCTCATCCTTTTTTTTTTTTTTTTTTTTTTCATTCGATGCCACAATAAAGAGAGAGAGAATGTATTTCTAGTAACTCTCCTCACTTAAACCAAGGTTTATGAGTAATTAATTATTCGTTAAAATATTTCTCTCTTCACTTAAAATATATTTTTATTCTTATAGTTTCACTTATTTTACCTTTTAATTTTTATAATTTAAAATAAATATTTTTAATTTTTATATTTATCTTTTTTAATTCTTATAATTTTAATTTTTTTAATCCGTATACTTGTATTTTTTGTTATATTTTTTGTTTATGTAGATAATTTATTTATAATATTATTTCTTTTGTATAGATGTGACAAAGGTATTCAATTTTGTATTTTTTATATTGAATTTATTTTGCTAAATTTATTCTCTTGGTGCCTTTTTTTTATGCTCATCTTTGATGTCTATTCTTGAAACACGTTTTTTTTTCACTTTCACAAAATTGAAGATCCCTGCCACGTCAAAAAAAATAAAGAGATGATGTTTAGAAAAAAATAATGACAGTAACTAATTTTTTTTTTTAAAAGAAAAGTTAAGTATATGAACAAAAAAATGTATATCTTAAATTCTAAGGACTCAAAAGGATTAATAAAGATAAATATAGAATTAACAAAACGTTGTGTCTATATAGGGACTAAATTAAGTGAAACTATTAAAAAGGTAATTTGACCTTAATTATTTTAGTTTTTAACACTCTTAAGTTAGACATGTATTTGATTAATGATCCTTTCAACCTTAGGACATTTGGTACATGAAAATTTTTTACTTGTTGAGAATGATATCGTTAGTTTCCCACATTTAGTTTGTCATTTAAAAAAATAATATTTTAAGAAATATTATTGTTCAAAAATGGTTTTTGCATGTTTCATACAAAATTATTCTCATGAAAAGGTAATATTAATTTTTTTGATAAAAAAAATAGTTTTAAGATTATAAAAATATAATGTTACCTTTAATTTTTTATTTAATGTAGTAAAAATCTTTGATTCTTATGTAACAATTATAAACATTCCCAAAAACATTGATAACAATCAAACATGTTTTCATAATTCCTAGAAATCATGATTCCAATATTTATGATTTCCACGAATCATGATTTCAGGCATAAAAATTTGGTATGTACCAAACGTTTCCCTAGTGTGACCTATTATTTCCTTTTAATTAGTATAAAAAGAATACTTCTTGTCTTTGTTTATATTTTATTTTAAAATAAAAATAAAATAAAAGATACTATATCACAATAGATGTGACAAAACAATTAACAAAATTGAAATTTAACTAAATTATGGTTAGTATATGAATCTAATTTGAACTTAATTATATAAGGAGAAATATATACATAAAAGTGAATACGAAAGACAAAAATATATCTACATAAAAGTGAATAAGAAAAATAGTTACCAAAGTGATATTACTTTTATTAATAATATAGATTATAATATTAATGAATTTGACTAACTAATTAGCCAAATTTTTCATGAAATTGTTCTATTAGACATAGGAATTAGGTAGGATCGTAAGTGCATTTATAGGGTACTTGAATGTTGGATTGATCTTTATTAGTTTCATCTAGTGAAGGCATGGGTTAGCCGTTACTCTCAAGTAGTTGCTTCTTCATTCTGCTTACGTCTCTAACGAAAAAGAGAAACCCACATAAATCTAAGAAACAATGTGACAAGAACAAGAATTCCCCACTCACGTGAAGAAGATATTAATTTGCGATATGCATGAAGTCACAAACTGAGAAAAGGAAAGTTTGAAAATGCAAACAAAGTGAGATTAATTGAGACATGACCCACTTGGGACAATGACTCTCCCTAGTTGCCTTTGTGGACGAACAACAATGTTACACGCTGTTCATTGCTTCCTTGTCGACCATAGTGACGTGGCCTGCTGAATTTTCGTTTCAAACAAAGAGGTGTGTGTTGGGTTTGATCGTGATCGACCCTTTCGGAACTATCTACTCAGTACTCTCTATTTGGAATTGGAAACAAGGATTCCAATAATTTCAGATTCATGACTTGGGATCAACAGAAAGTTGACATGGGATGAGATACCAAGGAATCTTCCTTATACAATGTTTTCATACATAAGATAACAATCGAGTTCCATGTTAAGAAATTTGGAACAACTTATGTATAATAAATATAAAAAAATGAATAATATCAACCAAAATGGATGTTGACATTAATATTTCTTTAAAGATAAAAAAAAAAAGAAAATTTGTTTTAGAGAATATTGTAAGTTAGTGATGGGACAAAAAAAAACAGATTTTATAAAGTTGTGATTCGAAATTGAAAAATCAA